CACATGAAAAATAACAATAGATAGATAAAACAACCAAAAAACTGTAAGACAGAATGGCAGTACCTAGGTCTCATAGGTCAATAATCACTCTAATGTGGATGGATGGATGGAAAGCAACAATTAAAAGACACAGAATGATAGATTGGATAGAAAAGCATGACCCATCTAGTATGCGTACAAAAGTCTCACATCAGGTCTAAAGACAAACATAGGCTTAAAGTGAAAGGCTGGAACAAAATATTTCAAGCCATAATAGAGAAAAAGCAGGAGTAGTTATTCTTATATTTGATAAATTAGACTTTTAGACAAAAAGGTAATTAGTGACAAATATGGGAAGTATATATTGATCAAAGGGTAATTCACCAAAAAAGGTATAACTATCACTAATAATTATGCATCCAATACAAGTTACACCTAAATATATGAACCAATTGTTAACAGACTTAAAACAAGACATTTACAGCAACATAGTAACTGTAGGTATCACAACATACCACTTAAACATCAATGGATAGGCAATCCGACAGAAAGAAAAAGAAATAATGATCTTAAATGAAGTAAGGCATTAAATGAACATATGCGTCAGATGAAATATATATTACTTCCCATCCCAAAAGAAATATGTACATTCTTCTCAAGTATACATGGATGATTCTCAAGGACAGTGCCTATGCTGTGCTGGGACTCAAAAGAAGACTCAAAAATATAGTATAAGTGAAAACTTATGAATTATCTTCTTTGGTTACAATGGTCAACCACATAAAAACCAAAACCAAAACCAAAAAACCCTGAAGAAACCCAATCATGTGGAGACTTAACAAAGTACTTTGAAACAAGTCTTGGAACACTTTGAAATAAGTCAATGAAGAAACCAAAGGAGAAAAAAATTTTAGGGACCAACGAAAATGAACACATCCACTACCAGATCCCATGGGATTCAGCAAAAACAGTATTAATACTGAAGTTTATAACAGTACAGGCCACATCAACAAATAAGAAAATTCTCAAATAAACTATTTACCATGCATCTGAAGGAACTAGAAAAAGAGCAAATGAAACTAAAGTCTGTAGAGGGAAGGATATAATAAAATTTATAGCAGAAATAAATGAAATAGAATCTAAAAAGATGATACAAAAGATCGATGAAATCAAGAGCTGGTTCTTTGAAAGGATAAACAAAAGGAGAGAGAACACCAGTAAGAAAAGGAAGAGCACTAAGAAGGAAGAAAACCAAAATACATAGAATCAGAAATAAACAAGCTGAAGTTACAGCAGAAACCAAAGAAACATGAAGAATCATAAGAAACTACAATGAACATGTACATGCAAATAAATCAGACAACCTAGAAGAAATGGACATTTAAGAATCAAACAATCTTCCAAGACTGAACCAGGATGAAAAGGTAGTTTGAACAGATCAATCAAAAGCACAGAAATCAAAATAGTAATCAAAAGTCTCTCTAAGAAAAAAAGCCCTGGACCAGATGGCTTCATAATGAATTTTACCAAACTTGCAAAGAACACCTAATATCTATCTCCCTGAAATTGTTCAAAAAATCTGAATTGTTCCCAAACATATTTTATAAGGCCAACTTACCTTGATCTCAAAACCAGACAATGATCGCACAAAATACAAGGATTATATACTGCTATCTCTACTGAACATGGATGTAAATATATTCAACGATATCTTACCAATCCCACCCAGGAATACATTGAGAAAAATCATACATACTAAGTGGGATTCATCCTAAGGCTGTAAGCTTGGCTCAACATATGCAAATCAATGTCCTTTATGACATCAACAAAAGGATAAAAATTATATGATGATCTCAACAGATGCTCATAAATATGAGAAAAACCCTTAATAAAATGAGCATTAAAGGAACATATCTCATCTAATGAAGGCCATTAACATAAAAATCAGTTAAAAATCACATTCAATGGTGAAAAACTGAAAGCTTTATCCTTAAGATTAAGAACAAGAGAAGGATGTCTACTCTCACCACTACTGTTCAACATAGAAAGTGGTAGCCAGTGAAACTAGGCAAAAGAAAGAAAACATAAAAGGAATCAAATTTGCAAAAAAAGTAAAATTATCAGTACTTGAGATGACATGATGAAAATAGTAAAGTGGTAGGAAAAACATCAGTGCACAAAAGCTGTTGCACTTATATGCTAACAATGAAATAGAGGAAAAAGAAAATAAGAAAACAATCCCATTTAGAATTGCACCAAAAAGGATGAAACACCTGGGGGTAAACTTAACAAAGGAAATGGAGATCTATACACTGAAAACTGCAAGATACTGTTAGAAGAAATACAGGAAGACACAAAGAAATGGAAAGATAGCATGTGATCATGGACTGGAAGAATAAAAATTGTTAAAATAGCCATGCTACCTAAAGCAATTTACAGAGTCAATGTAATACCTATTAAAATTCCAATGACTTTTCCTAAGGAAATAGAAGAAACAATTCTAAAGCATGTATGGGAACACAAAAGACCGATCTCCCAATAGCCAAAGCAATCCTAAGACAAAAAGAGAAATATGGGTGCATCACTCTCCTTACTTTAATCTATACACCACAGGAACAGTAATCAAAATAGTAAGGTATTAGAATAAAAACACAGCAACACAGACCAACAGGATAGAATTGTCAGCCCAGAAATAAGCCTACATATATACAGACAATTAATTTATGATAAAGGAGCCATCGCTATACGACGGAGAAAAGACGGAGAAAAGAAAGCCTTTTCAACAAACAATTTCAGAAACCTGGACAGTTACATGCAAAACAATGAAACTAGACCATCCACAAAAGTTAATTCAAAATGTATCAAGCACCTAGACGTAAGGCCCCAGAACATGAAGTACATGTAGAAAAACACAGGTAATATATTACTGAACAGGAATCTCAGAGATGTATTTGGGGATTCAATGCTAACAGCAAGGAAACCAAAAGTGTAAAAAGTGGGACTACATCAAACTAAAAAGATTTGGTTCTGTGAGAGAAACCATTACAAAAACAAAACAAAAAGGCGACCTCTGGGTTGGGAGAAGATATTTACATGTCACATGTCTGACAAGGGTTTAAATTTCGAAATATATAGGAAGAACTCATAAAACTCAACAACAACAACAAAACCAAAGAACCCAATCAAAAGATGGACAAAAGGACTTAATAGGCACATGACCAAAGATGACATACAGACGGCCAAAGGCACATGAAAAACTGCACAACATCACTAATTATAAGGGAAATGTAAAGCAAAACCACAATGAAATATCATCTCACACCTGTGAGAATGTCCTATATGTCAAAAGAAACAGAAACAAGTGTTGGCAAAGGTGTGTACAAAATGAAACGCTCCACTACTCAACACTATTGCTGGGAATGTAATTTGATGCATTTATGGAAAATGGTATAAAGAGGCCTTAAAATATTTAAAATAGAAATACTGTTATCATCCCATAAAATCACCTCTAGGTATTTACCAAAAGAACATGGCAATACTAATATGAAAAGATTTATGCTCTATGTTCCTAACAGCATTATTCACAATAGCAAAGACATCTAATCAATCTAAATCAACTGATGACTGGATAAAGAATTATATATATACTCAATGGACTACTACTAAGCTAATGAAGATGAAATCTTGCCTTTTGTGACAACATGGATGAACTTGAATTGATTATGCTTAAATAAAATAAATGCTAAAGTGAAAGATAAGTATAGGATAGATGGCTTCACTCATTTGTGGAATATAAATAATCAAAGAAAACAAACTAGCAAAATGCAACAAAAATAGCTTTTAAACTCTGTGAAAGTATGGTGTTTACTAGAGGTGAAGGGGAGGAAGAGAGAGTAGGGGTAGTGTCATAGTGTAGTGGTGGTGGGTGAGTGAGCAAGTGCATATGTCGACGTGTGAAGCTCTCTCTGAAATCACATCATCAAGCAAAAGAATGGTTAATCTATATAATCTGATTAAAAATAAAAATAGTGGGGATAGATGGGAGCTATTGTTTTGTAAGTTTTAAAAGTAAGGTCTGACAAGGGAAAATTTTATGCTGTCAATTTGTTAATTTATAGAAACCATTTGAGAATATTGTAAATATTTTGAGATATAAGGATTTAAGTGCTTAAAGTAAAACAGTGACCTACTGGTATTACCAAGGGAATTAATAAAACACCCAACCTTTCCATTCAACAAGCTGTGGGTGGCAATATTTTATTATTTGTATTTTGAAGTGGACATGGAGAAGGGGAGGAGAAAGAATCAGAGAGGAATAAATTGAGAGAACTTACTGGGAAAATTACTGGTTTGAAACAAATGCATCCTTCCTCTAGAAGGTGCTGTGAGTTTGAATATGGTTCAGTAGGTTAATTATTATTTAAATACTTACCTGAAATCATCAATGTAGTAAAGGGGAAAGAATTTTACACGAAATAAAATAATTTTTTCTTATGAACTTCAATTACATAGTTAAAGACATCTTTACACTGAGAAAAACATTACTGACTTAAATAAAATTTTAAATAAGATGAGATTAAGAATAGTCTTAAATCCATACATAAACTAGTAATACGAGAATGTCACTTCAGCATTTTTAAGACTAAGCAGTTTCCCTTCCAAACCCCAATTCTGTAGGTTATTCCCACTGCCTTTCTTCAGAGGAAGCTTCTCATATACCAGTAGCTTGGGAATACTTTAACACAAGCTTTATGCAGCTTTGGGTTTTGTAAAAAGAATAAGTGGTCAGTACCTTTATATTTACTTAAATACTCAGTTGTAGTGCATTATTTAAAATCATGGGGAATATTAAGGGATAAAGTGTTAAAGGTTGGATTCATGACTTAATCTCTGTTCCAGATTTTTCTTATCACTAGAATGAGGACAGCATTGTCATAAGAATTAAATAAACCATGTTATAGTACAAGGCACGTAGTAAGTGTTCCAGACTCTCATTACTACACAATAAAATAGTTACTCACTCTTTTGTTGAGACAAATAACGGGCCACAGGCTGCAACCCAGCGTGCAACAGCAGCAAAGACAACCACATAGCAGCCATTTCACATTGACTGGGACAGCTTTTTTCAGACATGCATTCACACGGCCAATGCTGGTCTTAAATTCTTCTGGGGCCACCTACAACAAGGGCACAATCTTTAACATTTGGGGGCAGCTTTAAACTACTGATCTCTATACCACCTACAGAAAATGCTTGTCTCATTATAAATACCTCTTGGAAGTATGTAGAAGTATGTCTTGGAAGACAGCAGAAAGCAAAATAATGCAATTGCATGTTTATAGAACTTATTCTAATATTTGAAAACAATCTCCCCAAATTATCAATGATAAAATTGGTGGTATAGGATATCTGTCAAGCAGTTTTTGTAACAAATATTCTAATTATTAAGGCAGTATTATAGTCTGTAGTCACTCTGACTAAAAGTTGAGGAAGACTAGAAATACAACAATAGCAATACTACCACAGTAAACAGAATTAAAATTAGATCCTGACTATATTCATGGGTTCCTTTTAAAAAAGCAACTCTCACTGAGATGGAAAAATGCACAAAATGATGTAAAACTAAACTATTATATTATTTAAAAAAAGCAACTCTCAAACCTTTTCTCCCTGGTTAATATTGTTAATAAAAAGTAATACTGTTAACGAAATTGATGACAATTTTAATTTTGGAGGTTAAATAACCATTTCTGCTCTTTTATCTGTGTAGATGTTCCACTCACAACATAACAACTTTAAAATTTACTACTTCTGTAGAAACAAGTTATACTAATAGACAGGTGTGATCACATTAAAAAAAGTCTTGATGTTCAGCATAAAACAGAGTCATGACTGTGGTAAGTATAAAAGCTGAAAAGATCCTGAAATGTATTAATTAAATACTTGAAGCTTTTACCTCCATTCCTGGAAGTGGCTGCTTGTACAGCTCTGTAAACAATGACAAAATCAGTTCAAAGGTGTAAGCCTGACAGGTATAATCAGATTTACACCAAAAAATTTGTTTCAAAAGTCATACAATTCAAAAGTATACACAAAATAGTTTGCTTTCAGTGAAATCACATTTCTGATCACAAACAAAAATGATTTACTTTCATTTAGAAAACTGTCAAGACTAAAATCTATGGGGAAATAGTCTAGAATCTGGCTGTGTAAACAAAAATTAAGAAATTGTTAGGAAAAACCACTGCTATAAAACAAAAAATCCACTAGCATGTTTGGTATCAAAACCAAAGATTTACAATACTTCCAAGTAAAAATTTTACTAGAGGATTCAATTTACTACAGTTTTGTATTTTCACAGACACTTAAAATTGATACTATAAAATATATACTTATTAGCAGTTGTTATAAAGATACATGCCCACAGAAATCAGCACTATCATGATTAAAACATTAAGCAATTACATTAGCTTCATCAGAATTTTTCATGCCATCCAAAAACGCTAATTGCTTAATCCACAAAATTTCCTTTTCTTCCCAACATATTAATAATAACAACCACTGTTAAAACTATGAGATTCAAAACTATATTTAAATGGGGAAAGTAATTAATTTCATTCTCCATCTAGACTGTCAGCAATATAACTTAAAGACAATCACAGAATAAGAGGAATTCTAATTAAATGCTTAAATGAATTCTGAGAGCCATGCCTTATAACTGAAAATAGGAAACACTAACAAGCTAACTAAGCACATTGGATGTGCTAGATGTGGATTCTAGTTACTTACTAGCTATGAGAAATCCTAGGCTAATTCATTTAAATTTCCTTTGTTTTTTTAGTTTGTCATTTATAAAATGAGAATAATAATCTTAGTTTTATGTACCTTATAGGGAATGAGAATACCTTGGGAAAAAAACTTCCTGCCTGGAATGCTTTGAAAAGGGAAGCCAATGAATAGTATCTCTGATTAGATTTGCAGAAAGAAAAATCTCTTTTTTTGCATGGAGTCTTACTTGAAGGCAAGGAGTTTGATCAGGCAACTATTAATATTCCACAGTTTTGGTATATATTTTATTCTAACTAAAAGGATAATTTGTTACATCCAGTCCTACAATTCTTTAGAGAAGAATGTCCTATAAAGACAAGAAACCAAATTGCTATTTTAAGGTTTACCTTTCTAGCAGCAATATTCAACTTTTTCCCCCCCAGTGAATCAGAGCAACCAAATGGAAGTTAAAAGTAAGCAAACATGTATTTATATATTTAGTTCTTCTCTGTAAAATTGCTATCAATTCTCTTTAAATTGTGCATATAGAAAACTAACACATTTTTGAAGTTAACAGCAAATTTTGATATGATCTCATGTAAAGCATAAGATTATTTAATCTATCCATTTACAAATTTATGTTAATTAGAATTTAACTTTTTACTTAGAAAGCAAATTTTTCGTTCAAAAGTATGTAAGTGTAGGTAATAATTAAAAGCAGAGCGAGGTTAAAGCCTGGTGTCAATCAATGCAAAGGGAAAAAAAGGCATACATAAGAGCCTGTAATAAGAAAGCCCCACCTCTACCATGGATGAATAGTGCTTAGATGTCTGAGGGATACTAAAGACAAAGAATAAAAAGAGGGAAAGTAAAGCTTGTTTTTTGTTTAAAACATGTGAATAAAATAATGTGCCAAGGTATTTGTTTGTCTTTTATCATATGCTTTTGGAAATGAATTATCAAAATAGTTCTACAATGAAGCAATTTTCCTTCTCCCTGTCAATACTTTCTACTTTAAATATATAATAATCTCAATTTGTATCATCGCAAATTAAAAACTAAAATACTGAATTTACTAATAATGAGAATTCAAAAAATTTGAAGCCACAACAAAAGTATATTGAAAAGAAAAACTTTTACTAGAATTCCAAATAATAAAATGAAATCTACATTTTAACTTCAAAAAGGAAGCCAGGATTGTATTTGAAAGAAATCTGTATTTGAATAACAGTAAAAGTCATAAAACAGAGATAAAGGCATAGGAAATGAGAATTGGTTAACTCTTGATTTTAAACATTGTGAAAGAAAAGTTTTGTTAACTATGTGGAATCAGTGTTAATAACATTTTACTCATTTACTTCCATATAATTAAGTATCTCTACTAATGAAGGTTAGAGGGAGGCCCTTTGCATACTAGCCATACATCAGGTTGTAAAGAAACATGTAATTCCTTTTGACTTTCTTGGAAAGAAAAAAAAAAACACAACACATCATAAAGGTGGAGAAAGGGTCATAATATTTTATAACAGGATGTAAGGAACTGCAACAGAAGAAAATGTAAGCAAAAGCCAGCAGGACTGACATGCCTCCTTCAGTCATGGGGAACACAACCCTATCAATCACTTGCCAGACTGGATCACAATAGTAAAGGTCGATTTTATGGCTTACAATCCCCAATACTGCACACTAATCTCCCCATAACACCATTTAACTGTTTCAAGCTGAGGGACAGAAAGCAGCTTTGACATCTTTCCTAAAGTTCTCTGGTTCTTTCATTTCCTGGTCACCAGACTGTGTTTATACACCTGCTCAATACATTGTATTCATGGCAAGAGGACTTATCTTTAGTGAAATGGGCAAACAGCATTTGCTGCTCTTAATATGAAATATTATCTTTTCATTTGCATTGAAAGCACTAACACATAAGAAACCAAAAATTAATACTGAGTCACAAGAGTTTGTCAAAATGGCTTCTGGTTTTCATAATTTACTTGGTATGATTTTTGCTTAGTTTATATATAAAAGCCATTTAGAATATCATTCATACCTGAAGACTGATTTTGTAAAAGTAAGTTTATTTTTCTATTTTAGCTATTGCCTTTTAGTTTTTTTTCTTCAGTTTTTTTGGGCTTCTTTTTGCTTCTTTCCTCCAGTTATCACAGAAACACTTTGATAATATAATATAACCTATACAAATGACAATGTCTAGTAGACACTGTCTACCAGAGAAAAATGATCTCATGAAAGAGAAAATAAATAAAACTAATGCGATCACCATGTAACTTTAAATCATCAGACCTCTAGAATTCCCTTTAATGTTTTTTCATTACTAAATGCTAACAACACATCATCATTTATACCTTGCCTAATACATGGGACATTTTGTATACTTTAAATAATGTAAACTAGAATAAATATCCAATCATTTATGATACATGCTATAGAAAAAACAGCCCCCTGAAAAGAATGGGCATCTTTAAGAACAACTCATTCAGATAAATTTGTGTGGATACACATCAAAAGGAACTTAATATCCTTAAACTCCTCTAATTTAAAAAAAAGTACTACTTTTTGGTTTGGTTTTAGAAGGCTTGGAAAGGAATGAAGAGGTATGATAAAATATTCTGGAAATTCCTGGAGAACATAAAACTGGTAAATTTCAAAGAAAAGTAATTCATATGGCTCTAAACTCTGTTCTCTGACACATTTTTTTATTATTCATATTTTAGGATTTCCTGAACTTGTAATTCAATTTTTTTTTATTAAACCAACAAGATAGCTGGATGTAAATGCCCAGATGTCACATGCAAAGTTATCAAGGGAAATATAAAGAACAAGTTTTCTATTGGAGATGTTTCAATTCACATTCTCTTCAATCCTGTTATTTTAATTGTGAATTATTCTAAATGGTCAGGACAGAAAGGTGGAACATTAAGTGGCCACATGGTTTTAAATATTAACTTAGCCGGGGACTATCTCCAGCTACCTATTATGTGGAATGAACTGTCATTATGCCTCAAGAGAGCTAGAAAAGGTCAACAGTCAATACAACATATTATTGGTGGGGCCAGAGAATAAACTGTTACTCATAAGAAGAATGTAAAAGTAGCAAAAGCAACCCAAACTTGAAAGCTGGTGAGCAGATCAAATTGCAAAAACAAGAGGGCTGCAACCAGAATATGGTAATGAAGAATGATCAACAGCAACCATAAACTGACAGTGACACTAACATGCACCTGCATACTAGGAGCTTTATATATATATATGCTCTCTCGTTTAATCTTTATAAGAAGAAAGGCATTATTATCATCATGTCTATTTTTCATGTACGAACTAAAGCTCAGTGTAATGGCTTGCCCAAGGCCACAGACAGTAAGGTGACGAGATTCTAATCCAGATTTGACTTCAAAAGCTACTTCATACTGTTTACTGCTAGCTCCCATTATTCAGGGGAAAAAGAAGAAAAAGCATGAAATACCTTTCTTGGTTCACCTAAATAGAATTTCTTATGATTTCTGTGATAACCCTTCAAAAAAAAGATCTATTGTATTCTCTTCTCCTGCCTCCACCTTAATGAGGCTGGGGAGAAATTTGGGACTAGGCCAAAAGTGATGAGAGTAGCAGCTGGGAAACTTATTATGACAAAAAAGAGTCATTATTAGTAGGAATATTTTAGCCCATTCTCAAAGAGTTTAGAATGAGTGGGAAAAATAAATATAAATAAAGTAAGGTTTGAAAAGTAATATAGTCAATATCCAAAACACTGAGAGATATTTAGAAAATTATTTCATCTTAACGGTTGCTTCCATCCCTTATTACTCTTCTCCCAAAGGTAATCACTTTTGCTTCATTTGTTTCCTAGAATTTCTTAATATAATTGTTAACATGCTTATTTCTCCCCTTTCTTACACATACTAAACACAATGACTTGTACTTGCTTTTCTCAATAACAATCTGAGAAAATTAACACCAAAATTGCATAAAAGTCCTTTTGAGAATGGAATGCTTTTAAAATATCACCAAAATCTATACTGAAAGATAGCATTATTCTAATACTAAAATTAAACAGTGAGATTACAGATTTTAAAATATAAAAAAATTAACCCTAATCCATCATTTCAGTATCAAGCATATAGCTATCAATCAGTTGAAAATTATTCAGAATTTTGTAACAGAATGACTTTTTCTTCTACATTTCCTCCAGTAACAAACCTGTATAAATAACTTTTGCCTTACTCAAAGCCTTCTTCTCTGGGTCTGGACATTTAACATTACTGTTGTAAGAGGATTTTCCAAACATAGTTTTGAATGTGAAGATGTCCTTAAATATTGAGCCTTAATGTTAGAAGACACTCTACCGTAGACAAAGCAGGGCACAGAAAGGTAATAATTTAGTTCACTGAGTCTAATTTTAGAAACTCAAGTTATCTAACAGGCAGAAAAATGTCTAAGCAAATATACAGTTCTTTTGATGTGTAACAAATCATAACTCAGGGCATCTTAAAAATAACAGAGACAAAGTTATATAATGATGACTCCAAAAACATGGGAAATTATTGACCTAAATGAAAAAATATAGCTACCTGTGCTGATAAAAAAGCAAAGCAGGAAAGCTGAATAGAAAGTAAATAATGGCTGGCATTAATGGACCCTGAACAAAATAACTGGTTATAGGCTAGTAGCCATGGAGACAGCTTTTAGCTATTAACTACAAGGCCTCCAAGTATCCTGACCTCTTATAATTAGACTTCATTACCAGTGAGTCAAATCATTTGTCATAACATTGAATAAGCCATAAAACAATGCTTTTAGAATTGAAAGTTTCAAAGCAAACTCTCACTTACCTTCCCTGTTAGAACTGAGGGAAATTCAGTATCAAACTTGTTGCTCAAGCCAAACCTTAAAAACAAAGATAGAACAAAATATATTCTACCCAGCATATTTAACGCTTTCCCTCTTAAAAAAAAGTTACAAAGTCATGCATTTTTCTTTAAGCACAGTGATTTAAGAACAAGTCCTAAAAATAATTTTAATGACATTTATAGAAAATAACTGATGGTTAATACAAATTAATAATAAATGAAGTTTAAGGAGCAAATGTTAAAGTGGGGTTCTAAGTAGGGCCCTCCCTGGTGGAACAGCGGGTTAAAGCACAGCACTACGAAGCTAAAGTCATTTCAGCATGAGTTCGATTCCCCACCAGGGAGATGACCCACATGGCGGGGCAGATGTCTCCTGGCCTGCCTGCTGCTCCCCTCAGCAGTGTGTACTTTGTCAATCTGCCTGTTCTGTTCTCTACTCTGTCTCTGGTGAAGCCTCTCATTGCCACTGCACCTCTGGTCTGTACCCCAGTTCTGTATGCAGAAATAAATAAACCTTAAAAAAAAGTGAAGTGAGACCTAATTACATTCATGATGTGGGATTGAAGGACAAGAAGCAATGACACAGCTAGAAATACCATGTTTTTGGCCGAAATGTTTCTGTTAATAGCTGAGCTGATAATTGCTGAAACTGGCTGATGGGTAGTATGTGGGTGTGGATTATACAATTCTTTCTACTTTTCTGTATATATGAAAAAGTTCCTAATCACAACTAATAAAGCCTTTGGAACTATAGGTTGAAGACTTATGGTCAGTTACTATCCATATACTCAAAGGCTGATCCTTAGGAATGACATCTCTCTCTCTCTCTCTCTCTCTCTCTCTCTCTCTCTCTCTCTCT